CGAGTAACGAAAAAAAAAATTACTTAAAAAATTAGAGCACTCAATCATTTCATTCTTCCAATGTTTACATGGATGAATCTGACGAGGAAAGAAACCTTGTAAAGATTACCTTTGTTTCGTATGTAAAATAACAAGATCATCATTAAAAAATAATAATTCTGCATTCTTTTGCAATTATATATTGTAAAATAAATATTCATATGAAAGAATGTGTCTGCATCATGACATCATTAATTGGTACTTTTCTGGCATACATCCGTTACGATATGCCGATGGAGAAGACTTCGCAGGACGAAATGACACGGCCTGGGGATTATTTTTTCTTCCGAGGGTAAGCCGATTCCCTAAACAGCATACCGACTCTCTCCACACACCTGGATAAGCCAAGGGAACATCATGTGTGGATGATACAACTTGGCACCAGTCGCGTCGTAGGAGTTGCCGGAAATTTTACTGTTTCCACATCATACCGAAAACGGGACTAAATGTTCCGGTTTTCTAATTTAGAGTTTTCCTTCTCTTAGATGAGTTGCCATTCAAGGTTGACAAGTCCCATCTACCCGGATGCTGGTGGTGTTTTCTCGTGGCTAGGCTTTTGCTGGGAATTGAGCTTAAGTCCACAAGGTTTGGACTGACTCAGATTAGACCGCTTGGTCACCCAGTGTGTCAAGGTGTGACTGACTCAGTTTAGACCGCTTGGTCACCCGGTGTGTCAAGGTGGGACTGACTCAGTTTAGACCGCTTGGTCACCCAGTGTGTCATGGTTGGGACTAACACATTTTAGACCGCTCGGTCACCCAGTGTGTCAAGGTTGGGACTGACACATTTTAGACTGCTTGGTCACCCAGTGTGTCAAGGTTTGGACTGACTCAGCTTAGACCGCTCGGTCACCCAGTGTGTCATGGTTGGGACTGACACATTTTAGACCGCTCGGTCACCCAGTTTGTCATGGTTGGGACTGACTCAGTTTAGACCGCTCGGTCACCCAGTGTGTCAAGGTTGGGACTGACTCAGTTTAGACCGCTCGGTCACCCAGTGTGTCATGGTTGGGACTGACACATTTTAGACCGCTCGGTCACCCAGTGTGTCAAGGTTGGGACTGACTCAACTTAGACCGCTTGGTCACCCAGTGTGTCATGGTTGGGACTGACACATTTTAGACCGCTTGGTCACCCAGTGTGTCAAGGTTTGGACTGACTCAGCTTAGACCGCTCGGTCACCCAGTGTGTCATGGTTGGGACTGACACATTTTAGACCGCTCGGTCACCCAGTGTGTCAAGGTTGGGACTGACTCAGTTTAGACCACTCGGTCACCCAGTGTGTCATGGTTGGGACTGACACATTTTAGACAACTCGGTCAACCAGTTTGTCATGGTTGGGACTGACTCAGTTTAGACCGCTCGGTCACCCAGTGTGTCAAGGTTGGGACTGACTCAGTTTAGACCGCTTGGTCACCCAGTGTGTCATGGTTGGGACTGACACATTTTAGACCGCTCGGTCACCCAGTGTGTCAAGGTTGGGACTGACTCAGTTTAGACCACTCGGTCACCCAGTGTGTCCCGGTTGGGACTGACACATTTTAGACCGCTCGGTCACCCAGTGTGTCAAGGTTGGGACTGACTCAGTTTAGACCGCTTGGTCTTCCAGTGTGTCATGGTTTAGACTGACTCAGTTTAGACCGCTCGGTCACCCAGTGTGTCATGGTTGGGACTGACACATTTTAGACCGCTCGGTCACCCAGTGCGTCAAGGTTGGGACTGACTCAGCTTAGACCGCTTGGTCACCCAGTGTGTATATGTGTAACTCGAAACCGAAATTAGACCAAAAGTGATCAATTAGCAACTTTCGGCGCTGAAACCGAAGCCGAAATTCGGTCGGTCTCTACTGCGGAACTCTGTTTGAATGGTAACACCGATGTACTTAACGGAGAAAACTGACTCAAGTATATGGCCATGTAGTTCGTAATGGTGTTTTGGAGGAGACTCACTTCTAGAGACTGACGGTGTCTGGCATGATGAAATTCAATGTTCCAGCTCATCACCCACTGAGCCAACTGACTGAGCTTTTTTGTAGCTGGTCTTGGTCAGATCTGGTGGTGATCGTCCTATACAGCGTCGTGTCATCTGTAAAAGTCTCACTTGGGATGCTAAATTCTAGGGGGATCACTTGGGATGCTAAATTCTTGGGATATCACTTGGGATGCTAAATTCTTGGGAGATCACTTGGGATGCTAAATTCTTGGGAGATCACTTGGGATGCTAAATTCTTGGGAGATCACTTGGTATGCTAAATTCTTGGGAGATCACTTGGGATGCTAAATTCTTGGGAGATCATTGATGTATGATAGGAACAAACAGGGGCCTATTCCGTCCACCACTACTGCCTGACATCTGTTGCTGAGGAAGCTTGAGATCCATGTACTGGTAGTGCTTTAGATCCCATATCTCTGGAGCTTGTGTAAAAGCAAACTATGATTTACATGGTCGAATACCTTTGAGAAGTCATTCGCCAGTACGTTAGTTTGTTTTCTGTTCTCCAGATTCGTCATCAAGTCTTCTACAAATTCAAGTTTCCAATCAACCTTAACTGCGACACAGTCTCAAGAGATGCTCTCCGGTCAAACAACTTTTATTTTTAATGTATCTGGGTTTTTTTTCCCTCACGAAAGTAGAAAAGTTCCTATTTTTTATGGACTTTTTTTGACCCATAATACATACAATGATGGGTTCTGCACTTGTATTGTCGTGGGAATTAATTGTTGTTTGTTGTCCGTTAATTCGATAAGGACCATCTGGGCATCGGCTTGGGGTGGGTGGTGGTTGGATCACGGTGGGTTCATAGATGGCTTGCTAGTGAGATCCGTGCTCGGAATGGTTTTTGGCACAGTGGGCAGGGGACAGTTGCTGGAGTCGGTGATCTAAGGGTGCTTTTTTGGGATTGCCTGAGTGTCTTAGCTGTGGCTATCCTTCTAGCTTCCTGAGATTGAGAGCCTTCTTGGCAGCTAAACTGGACTCTGTCCTAGACTGTATGCACCCATTCAATAGGATTGATGCTGAGAGCTTTAAGTGCAAAAAGGAATTGGTTAGCGTGATTAAGGAACACTGTCAATAGACCTATGATGGGACACTATGAATAGTCCCGTAATGGGACACTCCTTTATCTGATCACAGGACTCCGTGAATAGTGTATTCATAGGACACTGTGAATAGTCTAATCATGTGACACTGTGAATAGTCTGATCATGTGACATTGTCAATAGTCTGATCATGTGACACTGAATAGTCTGATCATGTGACACTGTGAATAGTCTGATCATGTGACACTGTGAATAGTCTGATCATAGGACAATGTGAATAGTCTGATCATGAAACACTGTCAATAATATGACCATGAACACTGTGAATAGTATGATCATGTGACACTGTGAATAGTCTGATCATGGAACACTGTGAATAGTCTGATCATGGGACACTGTGAATAGTCTGATCATAAGACACTGTAAATAGTCTGATCATAAGACACTGTGAATAGTTTGATCTTGTTACACTGTCAATAGTCTGATCATGGGACACTGTCAATAGTCTGATCATAGGACACTGTGAATAATATGATCATTTGACACTGTGAATAGTCTGATCATAGGACACTGTCAATAGTCTGATCATAGGAAACTGTCAATATTCTGATCATAAGACACTGTGCATTGTCTGATCATAGGACACTGTGAATAGTCTGATCATAAGACACTGCGAAGAGACTGATCATGGGACACTTTCAATATTCTGATCACGGGACACTGTCGAAAGTATAGATATGTGTGCCTGTGTGTAATGTTCAGAAAAAATTCTCTGAGTCTGGACGCTGAAGGTGGTTTCCCACCGATTAAAATGCACTTAATTTCCTAACACATATTGATTTTTCTTTAAATCTACAGTCGTACGCTATGGTTCAGAATATGACAAGAATATGTGTAGATGGCTGGGGGGTGGGTGGTGGTAGATGGCTGAATGTCCTGCTACATAAAGGAATGAATATCCTGTGCGCACTTTCTTAAAACGTAGTGATACATACATCTCTGATAAAACAATCTTCTCTTTAAGTGGCCACATTTCTGACACATTCTCCAAGCGAATGTTCAAAGATGATTCGCACAACTTATTTTTCTAATGCATTTTTTCTGAAACGGTGGCTGAGTTGCATTGTTTAACTAGTACTTGCTTGTATCTGTAACGGACTATGTTTTCACATGAAAACAGAGAGGTAGCATGAGTGAACAGTGAATTGTGATGACCATGTTTTTTTCCACGAGGAGAGACAATCAATGGATTATATTTTTGAGATGCAAATGTGAGCTCCACGTTTTTGGAGAGTAAAATTATGTTTTTGTCAGAGCGGTTGTTTTCCACGCTTTGTTGGTAATAAAGTATGAGTTGACTGAGATAAGGAGAGCTGAGCGCAAGGAGAGTCAGAGTTAGTCGGAGTTGAGTTAGAGTTGAGATGTAGACAGTTGAGCTGAGTTGTAGAAGTGTGAGGACGTGTCTTTCTTAATGATGGAATACTATAGATATATATGTGAAATTACATTCATGCAAGGATTATTTATTAATATTATCAGTATAAAGTGTGTTCAATACAGTACTGTGAGTTTTAACTAGAGTTGAGTATTCTTCTTTACGTGCCTGGATAATAAGTGAAAGAATGAAGAAGACTTAGTCGGCATCCTGAAGTATTAACATAACATAAGTAACCATACTACTGACATAACACACAGCATAAGAAATAAGATCCCACGCCATGTCAGAGTAGATGTGTTACAGTATCATAATTGGGAAGGTATACAAATGATTTGGAAGGTGATATTTACTTTCCTTTAAGAAATATTATGATTCTAGCGTTCCATCCACACAACTAGCAATGCATTTATTAGCATATAGACTTTTGGTAAAATGTTCTCTCTAATCTACTAAATGGTGAAGGGTGTGGCTTTAAGTATTTCATATCTACTTCATAACTCGGCACTGACGGAATATGGCCAGGTACGTCTTGAAGAACTTGTTGGAGACGCTAGCATAGATCAGGAAATTCCCGGACGCGTTTAGCGTGTAGAGCAGGTCGATGCAGATGACGAGAGCCGAGTAGAGCTTGGACTGGTAGATGAAGTTCGGCACGTAATAGGAATACAAATCCAGCAGCATGGTGGGCACAAACACGATGGTAGAAAATAACCCGACGAGACCCAACATTTTGACAACCCTCAAGTCCAAATTGGCATTGTCCCTGTGCGATTTCTTGGAACCGGTAGGAGTTTTCCCGTTTCGAACTCTGACCCGCACGAGCCGTTTTCGGAGATTCCCAGTGTGCACAACTTTTATTCCAGTAGAAATTCCGCAGAACACCACCAGCAACCAGGGAATCCCGTTTAGAGCAATGTTGTACACTACGTAGCACACAAAGTTCACCGCGTCGTAATTGGACTTATAAAAATCCGTCAAGAGCAGTTTTGCGACAGTGGCGTTGAGCGTCTCGTCGTAGACCCACGCGTAGGTGAAAGTGAAGACAGCGGGTGACATGACGGCCAGCGTCAGCAGCACGACGGCGACCACAATACCTTTGACCCTGGGCGGCGTGAAAATCCTGGCAACCTGAAACGGAAACCAGACGGCGACGAACCGCTCAACGCTGATGGCCGACACCAGCCAGATTTCTCCGTTGGTCATGGACCGGTTGAAGACGAAGATGTACGCGATGGACAGTGTTTCTGACGTCACGCCGTAGGCCGGGTTGAAATGACCCAGGATGCAGTTGATGCACCTGAGAATAGAGTAGAAGGAGTGAGAATTATATCTATTTGAGAAATAACAACAAAATAATGGAAGTTGGCAACGTTACTTTGGAGATGGTGTCGGTGGGTCGTCGAGTTCGCACTCATAATACCCCCCCCCCGGCAGTCCCCCAAACGGGCCAGGGCTGAAGCCCCAGACCCTGCAGAAGCGCGCCGGAAACTTCCCTCCTGCCCTGAGGGACGTCCGGCGGACTGAGTGCGCTACATTTAAAGCGTCCGTAGGCTGCTCTCCTATGGGTCAGGGCGGCTTTACTTCCTCTCCGGAGAGGTGGTGTTGCGTTACCACTCCCCACCGCACAGGGAGCTGTCCGGTCGGGACGTAGAGGGGACGAAACGGTCGCCTAGGGGCGGCTTTCTCAGGGCCGCGTCTTTATAATCATTGACAACATTAGGGGCGCGTGCCAAACTTGACACATAAAGTGTTTTCATTGGCACGCGATGGACCTTACAAATAAAAATGAAAACATAACTGTGTCAGATTGGTTATATTGATCGTTTGCAGGTTGAATGAATTTAGAACTCTTGCTTTATCACATTGTTATCATCACGTTGTTGAAACTTTCTGTAATTTAATATTTTAAAATCGTTTATATTAACTTCAATTTAGTGTGTGGCCGGCTGGCAAAATCTTTGTACGGCTAATTGATCCTCTTCCCATCAACCTATCGAGTAGAATCTTGGCAAAAAGACTCGTTCCCGATGACAAAACATTCTATCAAATTTTCGCCCCACACCAACACCACCACCAACCCCCACTCCCCCAAAGTTTTCCTGCTTTTCACAGCGAAGATGAATGAAATATGATGTCACCGATTTCACGAAATAAAATCGTCAATTCCAGCGGTAAATGAGATTCATAAGAAAAAAACCACGGCAAGAGCGTTTGTTTGGTTCGTCATGTTTTCCTTGGTTGGTGAACTAAATATGCGGCAGACAAGCGAGTCGGTCATTAGAATATTAAATGGAGTTCAGGGGCGGGGAAAAAATGTGCGGATGCCAACCTTGATGGGGGGAGGGGGGCACACTAATTGGGATTCTTATCAAGTGCGACACGTGTATGCATGTTTTGTCCAATGTTCAGCCCCTTCCCCTCTCCCTCCCCCCCCCCCCCAAACGCATGGCTCGTCATGACATATGACAAATGATTTACAAGGAAAACTTCGCTTTGAGGCTTCATGTCGCTGAGATGAACTCAATTATCAAAATTTATGCAAAGAATTGGAACAAAAACTGCTTGCTAAAAAATGCGCTACTGGTTCAGCTAAGTAAGTTTTCTTCTCCATGCACCCCCTCGCATTCAAAGATTCGTTGACCAAAGCGCTGCCTTGCCCCCTTCAGTCAGACACTGATGACAGTAACTATCCACGGCTGGTATCGCATCCTAAAACCTTGCAACATGCAAGGAGACAATAATGATCTATCTTATAAGGATGAACGCCTGTAAACATAACGTGCACTTGCTATATTTATTTATTTAGGCATTTTTATATTGCGCTTACCTTAAAGCTCTACGCGCTTTACAATTATTAAAATAATGTAAACTAACTAAAATAAAAATAAGACATTAGGATAGTAACTGCTATACTATAGAAACAATTAAAATGGCTATAAAACGAGGACACTTTGGCACGTTTTGGCCTATATTACAGGATTAACCCGAGACAGAAAATGAGGCAGGGCAAGGAGGGTGCATCACAGGTCATAGGCGGACCTAAACAGATGGGTTTTAAGGGACTTTTTTAAAAGTGGACGAGGTTTCACAATGACGGATGTGGAAGGGGAGCTGGTTCCAGAACGTGGGCCCATGGAAGTAGAAGGAGCGTTCACCGATGGTCTTAGTTTTGGTTCTTGGGATTGAGAGGGTTCTATATATATTCTATTTTGACTAAAGTATCTATGACAACATCGTGACATGTTATGTAATGAAATTTAACTTATTAGTTTCTCTCATAACTTCAATTTTATTAATGGTATAATCAAAATCATAACAGTCACAGATAATAGAAAATATCCCAAAATGCCTGCTATTATTATCCTGGTAACATCGGGTCACATATGCTAGTAAGGTATATTAAGTTATATTTATAGTATTTAAAAAAAAATTCACGTTTGCAGATGGTAGAACAGTATATTATTAATTTTTTTATTTTATTGTAAAGAAGGAGACTGGAACAGAGCATGATGTCTTCAAGAGAACTGTTTCATTGGACGCGTCTTCTAAGGGGGCTCAGTGCCCTTGACTGTGGTCAAATCTTGTGAATTTTGAACCACTTCCTGATGTACAAATGAACTGAGACTTTGTGCACTTAACCACCCCCCCACGAAAATGCAACCAGTGAGGATAAGATAATTGAAAATAAAGACTACAACGTAAACATAAAACAATACACAAATACTTACTTAAAAGAGATAAATTAAAGAAAATTAAAATTAAAGAAAACAGAAAAAAAAACAACAAAAAAAACCTCTTCTCCAAAAAGGTTCTAAAATGTACACAATAGAGTCCCCCCACAAAACTTCAAAGTTGTTACAGTTACATATCTAAAAAGGGGAATGTGAGACGCCAATGAACTCAACATTCTTGGTTTCAGCTCAACTGGAGAGCAGGAAGTGGGTCAAAATTCTTATGCAAGATAAGACCACGCATAAACTCACAAACAGACGCAGCAACATAAGAAAAAAGTCATATGACATCATCATATTTCATGGGCGCCCCACTTGTTTTAGTCATATTACTGTAATAACCCTTAAGTTGTTTGGGGGGGGGGGGTATTTATTTTATACATTTTAGTAGATTTTTGGAAATGCATGTTTACAAAAAATAATTCTTTAATATATTATTACATTTTAAAATAGAGTTGCAGCAAGAAATGTAAGGAAGGTAACAATTGATTAGCGGAATAAGGCTCACGTACATTTGAGAAAAAAGTCTATTCGGTTCCTAGAGTTAATCTGAAAGAACAATTAGTAAAGACTTCTTTACCTGAAGAGGATGGAAACGCAAAAAAGCAGGTCAAAACATGTCAGGGACATGAGGAAGATGTGTGTTGTGTCCTTTCGAATGTCGTGGCATGCGAGTACAACTAAAGTGATGACGTTACCACACATTCCAAAAATAGCTATGACGTGAATGACGAAACAGTTAATAACTGTGTCAATGATGAGGAAGGCGGTGTCATCAAGGGTCAAGACGTCACCGGCGCTCAGCGTCACCGGGGTGTTTAACGTCACAGAATTGGAACCACTGGCAAAGTATTCATTTCTTGATGTGAGTTCTGGCCGAGGTTTGTCTGAGTCCGTGCTGACAACGGTCGCATTCATCCTTATAGAAAGGTAACTTTCAAGCTGTCAGACAGGAATGAGCAGTTCGATTATAATTATCACTTGGCACTTGGGCCAGATCTGACCGGTTTCTCGCAGGATTTTATTGGTCATTGTAGCAGTAGCCTGATAATTCTGTTATCTTCTGATAGCACTGATACGGTCTGATGGTTACTGCATCTTTCGCGAGCTATTTAGAACTTTCCCCAGTTCCTGCCTTCATTCTGTCTGCCTAATCCAGCTATTGTAAGCTCTTTAGTTCCTGCCTTCATTCTGTCTGCCTAATCCAGCTATTGTAAGCTCTTTAGTTCCTGCCTTCATTCTGTCTGTTTGTTCAGCTATTGTCAGCTATTTAGTTCCTGTCTTTATTCTGTCTGCATATTCCAACTATTGCCAGCTATTTAGTTCCTGCGTTTTTTCTGTCTGCATATTCCAACTATTGCCAGCTATTTAGTTCCTGCCTTTATTCAGTCTGCATATTCCAACTATTGCCAGCTATTTAGTTCCTGCGTTTTTTCTGTCTGCATATTCCAACTATTGCCAGCTATTTAGTTCCTGCCTTTATTCAGTCTGCATATTCCAACTATTGCCAGCTATTTAGTTCCTGCCTTTATTCTGTCTGCATATTCCAACTATTGCCAGCTATTTAGTTCCTGCGTTTTTTCTGCCTGCATATTCCAACTATTGCCAGCTATTTAGTTCCTGCCTTTATTCTGTCTGCCTATTCCATCTGTTGTCAGCTATTTAGTTCCTGCCTTTATTCGGTCTGCATATTCCAACTATTGCCAGCTATTTAGTTCCTGTCTTTATTCTGTCTGCCTATTCCAGCTATTGTCAGCTATTTATTCCTGCCTTTATTCTGTCTGCCTATTCCAGCTATTGCCAGCTATTTAGTTCCTGCCTTTATTCTGTCTGCATATTCCAACTATTGCCAGCTATTTAGTTCCTGCCTTTATTCTGTCTGCATATTCCAACTATTGCCAGCTATTTAGTTCCTGCCTTTATTCTGTCTGCCCATTCCAACTATTGCCAGCTATTTAGTTCCTGCGTTTTTTCTGTCTGCATATTCCAACTATTGCCAGCTATTTAGTTTCTGCCTTTATTCAGTCTGCATATTCCAACTATTGCCAGCTATTTAGTTCCTGCCTTTATTCTGTCTGCATATTCCAACTATTGCCAGCTATTTAGTTCCTGCGTTTCTTCTGCCTGCATATTCCAACTATTGCCAGCTATTTAGTTCCTGCCTTTATTCTGTCTGCCTATTCCAGCTATTGCCAGCTATTTAGTTCCTGCCTTTATTCTGTCTGCCTATTCCAGCTATTGCCAGCTATTTAGTTCCTGTCTTTATTCTGTCTGCCTATTCCAGCTATTGCGAGCTATTTAGTTCCTGCCTTTATTCTGTCTGCATATTCCAACTATTGCCAGCTATTTAGTTCCTGCCTTTATTCTGTCTGCATATTCCAACTATTGCCAGCTATTTAGTTCCTGCCTTTATTCTGTCTGCATATTCTAACTATTGTCAGCTATTTAGTTCCTGCCTTTATTCTGTCTGCCTAT